TCTCTCGTTGCTGTCAGCTGTTCACGTCTTGTTTGTTCTGGAGAATTGTGCTCATGAGAATCGCGTTTGCCTATGTCTGATGGGGTGAAAGACTTGTACTGTTGTCAGCAGGTGCTCCCAGCTCTGCAGGTGAGCCGAGGGCAGGCTGGTGCTTGTGAGAGGTGTAAGGAACCATTAGTACTACCAGGAGCAGAGGAGCTAGAGGAGCTTGCGCCCCTTTTCCATTCTTCACTTTCACGATGTTCTCCTCTACTACCAGTTTCTAAAACAGTCACACATAGGAAAGTGTGCCAAGAGATTTAAATATGTAGGGATGCTGGTAACTTGGCATGGCTAAGTTTGTGTCAGCAATTAGCTTCTCTAATGGGTTTTCCCGCTTCTGTAATCGCTTGTGTGATTGATGTTCTCTCTGTTCGTTGAGTCTGCAGAGAAACCTGGCCCTGCTTTGCATGCTTTAGCCTCTGTGTTTGCTGCGTTATTTCAGGGTGCTGCTGGAAAACATCCTACAGCAACACAGCTCTAACTAGAGCTCCAGGATACAGCCCTAGCGAGGACGGTGGCTTTTCTATGCTTGCTGATGGTCTCACATTTCATGTGGGGTGGCATGTGGCAGGTTCCCTCTGTTAATTAGAACAAATGTGCCAATTATGTTAATGTATCTCCCGATACCAATCAGTGAATAATTAGAGACAACACATCTGTCTCTCACCAGGGAGCGGAATGACAGAAAAGACGCTACAAGGTATGCTGCTCTAAATTGCCGCCGCGTCGGGTTGTGGGCTGCCTCAGCCGGTCGCGGCGACAGCTCGGTCTCATGGCAGGCCTGCGAATGCCTTAGCAGCACAATACATACCCATGCAATACAGCTGGCAGGAGCCGTGCGGCTCACTGCTTTGCAAATTAAATCCAGAAGACTAAGGAGCTCTGGCCAAAAGAAAGCTAACTTCGTATGTGCTCTGTGTCTGCATTCCTCTCAACATCTACAGACACTATGAGTTAATATTCTATACCCTCAGTTCACACCTTAAGAGAGAAGGTCCTTCTCTTGCTAGGCAGTTTACAAACACAGAGCAAATAGTAATACCTTCTCGAGAGAGTCTGGAAACTAAAAGAAGAAATGTGAACTTCTTACTTCCACAGGGCTGCTATGTAAGAAAAACTAGCTGCACATTGTTGTAATTTTCAATAGCTGTCATCTCCATGGGGGAATACTTACACCATAATTCACGGTAGTATTGTTGTCAATCAAATGATTTCTGTTATGGCGAGGGAAAACTGATGCCAGGCTATGTGTATGTGTGTGTGCAACCATCCATAGGTTTATTAATAATAGTTGGAGGGGTATCTGATTTAATTAAATAAATAGAGCTAGGTATCTTTTTAAAGAATCTTTGTGACTATAGCCAGTAAATATATATTCTCAATATCTAGGCAAAAGCAAATATCTACTCTAGAAATGTCTTCTCCAGGGAGTCAAAAAAGGGAGATGCAAGGGCGTGATTCAGTATGTTAAACACCTTGGCGTTTTGTGCAATCTGAAATGCCCTTGGGTGTCCTGCCTGCCCTCTGCCCACCTTATGTGAGTGTCCAGGCTCATCCAGGGTGCTCATCACTGCTGTTTAGGCAATTGAATTAAACACGGGGTGAGTTTCTACATTGACTGGCTTAACAGCCTGCTTCAGTGAGGGGGCTGAACCTTGGGGAATGACATGACATCAAACAAGATCGTTACTTTAACTGCTGTAATAACAGTTTGCATACTTGTCACTCATAAGTCACAGTGTCTCCATCTACTTTACTCTCTTCTCTTTTGTATTTGACACCTGATCAGTTCTGCTTGCGTAGAAAAACAGCGCTGCTCTCACCAGTTCTGGTTTCCTTTGTCCAAAAAAAAAGAAGAACCTGCGTCATGGCCAGAGGATCAGAGGAGTTGTGCACTGCATATAGTGAGAGGCTCCAGAAAAAATTAGGCTAACCAAAGTCTCATTTAAATGTTGTAATGTGTTTTAATTAGTTAACATTTGTACATGGAACGAAGAAGAAAACACATGCACTAATTATCATTGGAATGATGATTAGTGTCACTCTTTCTGTGTTACTCTTTATGCCCATTGCTAAAATGTATGTGAAAGGAGACCCTTTTTTCTCTCAAATCATCTATCATCTGTTCAGTTCCTCCCTTTAGACTTAATGATATTATATTTTGCTACATGAACAGGCTTATGACCTCATAAATGCTCTATTTGGATACCGCGGCAAGAAGGAATTAGGTATGTTAAAGACGTGTCTTGTAAGAGATTGAATTTAGACACACACACATACACAGAGTTCTGGTTATCAGTTTACTGCCAAAATGTATTTTTCAGAAAAAAAGGCACCCTGATGTTTTGCAAACATAATGGTTTTTTATTAGCAAGTTCTGTGGGCCATTAGGTGAAAAGAATCTTTTTCTTAAGAGATTTGACAAACAGCCAGAGGCACTATACCAAATTATACAGAGTCTCTGTTTTCTGATATTGGCAACTCCTATTTTCATATGATCTTCGGTTTTGCACGGATGAAAGGGAATTTAATGCTCATAGCTTTAATTTTGCCTAATCAGCTGAGACCCAGACTGAATATGTATGTATGTGTGTGCGTATTTGGAGAGAGTGCTGCAGAGTACTGGAATTATTTATGTGAGAATGGAGCCCTTGGGTAGTGACGAGTTGTGCTTGCATATATACTTGCTTGCGCGTACCAGAAGAATTTTGGACTGAACCGTAGACTGTGATATAACTGTAGTCCTGTCCTAACTACAGAACCGATGTCCTCGAAGTGTAGAGCATTGTGCAAGGACCGGTAGGTTTGAAGGTGGTACGCAGCTCCATTAGTGCATGTAGCATCTTTTAGGGTCCTCACCCAAGTCTGTCCTCCATCCCCGAAATAAATAATGGTATTGAAGACCAAGAAAAACATTCTGTATGTATGAGTCGCAGAGGTTAAGTGGCAGCCTGCAGCAGAGCAGGAGGCTCTCTTCCAGCTTGCTTCTTTATCTGGATGCGTGCAGGCTGGACCTGCAGGTGAGGAAGGAGATAACTATTGCTGCTGACTGAATAAGAGTCTGTCTGTCTCGGTTATACCTGATACCTGTGAGGACTCAAGAAAGGAGGAAGAACAATTGTAGTGTTCCTGGCAAGGAAAATCAGGTCATTGACTAAATGCTTATGTCTCCTATGGCAGATAAAATGCGAATGCTGTTGTGACAGAAACACAGCTTCCCAAGTTTTATGTCGCTTTCCTCCTCCCATATTCCTCTCATACCCACGCATCCATTCCTGCAGCCCTTTTTGCATCACCCATTTTAAGCTATAAAGTAGCTGTAATTGTAAAGCTACCATGCACTGCAGCGTTCTGCTGTGAAAAAGCAGGGCTTTTAAATCAAGCCTTCCTCAGGGCAGCGACGTTACATTCCTTACTGTGTAAGTCAGGAAGCAAAAGGGAGTTGACCTATGTGGCGATCTCGACGACTGTGGCTGTCCTGAGCTGGATGCCTGCACGCTCCATTGCAGGGCAGTCTCCTGGCTTAATAGTATAAGCAGGTATTCTCGATTACGCACAGGTAGGGGCTTTCATGCACAGCGCATGTTCAGCCAAGCTCGGTGATACTCCAACTGGATCTGCTCAAAGTCAGGCTTCAAGAGGGGAAGCCAGCGGTGGAGGAGCTTGACTTGAAGCATGCGCTCACAAGGGCTGGTCTTGCAGCGTTCAGCCAGCTCGGCCAGGGAATGAATCGAGCCCTCTGTATTGAAAACTGGGAGAGGTTTTCTTGGTTTTCTCCCTGCGGCTCGCGGCGGTTTACACGCCTATCACTGAGGGGGAGCAAGCTCTTTGTCGGCTTCCGCGTTTGCCAATGGTTGGGCAGTTCTTCAAATAACTTTGGAAAATGGGGTTTGCGAGAGCATGTCTTGGCAGTTAGCACCTCTTGATGCCAGTGGGTTGATTATGTTTTTGTTTTTCTTCCTTTAATTAAATGCCAGGCACAAGCTGAAATGATCCAGTGACATGAAGGCCCTGCTTTGATCCATCCCGGGCCCCAGTCCCTTCCCTCAGAGCACGCTCCGTTCAAATGAAAACAATCTACTAGAATTTCAGCCAAATTATATTAGGGTGGCTCAGCGCACTCAGCTGCGCTATAATAGGGTGTTTCTTTAGGAAGGCAATAAAGAGAACATTGTCTGGATTAAAAATCACATATACAAATATTTTTCTGTGTAACCAAGGAAATTACACTTTATTAAAATAAAGTATAGCTTACATAAAGAAAAAGGAAAAACAAGCATTTATGTAGTATTTGTGAATCCCTATTTCCCTGGTAACGGTCTTTATTTTGTTTAATCTTGATTCCAGCAAAAAAAATAACATCTATATATGGGTGAGTGTGTGTATATTTTAAAATAATTTTGTTTGTAATTTGTTAAGCTTACCTACTCCGGTGGCAGGGCCTCACTGTGTTACACCCATAGAGGTACATACAATGTTATTGCGTTATTTACTGCCTCATTAGTCAAGATATGCAAAATAATGGGAAAGACACCTCAACTGTTTGGGGGTTTCTGATGATATAAGAGAATTTGCTGTTTGAAGGTCCAGCCTTAAGATGTAAGCCTGCCTTGTCCTGTGCCTCAGCCTGAAAGCACAGATGAGCTGTATGTGTATGTGCGGTAGCTAGCAGCCTTTGGAAAGGCATCACCATTTTCAAGATGAGACAGAAACGCTGTTGTGTGAAATGGTGGGAGGGAAAGGGGCTGGAAGGAAACGGTAGGCTTAAACTTTGTTCTCCCACGTTTCGGCTGCGGTGTGTTATTTCAGTCGGCAGTGTGCATCAGCTGAGTCTTTTGCAATGCGCTTGGACTTTTAGCACTTTCTGGGATGCATCAAGTAATCACATATATTTTACCCATCGCGATCTGACCTGGTGAGGACTCATTGCCTTCCCTCTGGCCCCTTGAAACCCCCAGGTGGAGTGGCTGAAGAACGAGGAGGTGATTGATCCTGTGGAAGACCGAAATTTTTATATCACCATTGATCACAACCTGATCATCAAGCAAGCCCGTCTCTCTGACACAGCCAATTACACCTGTGTCGCCAAAAACATCGTGGCCAAAAGGAAAAGCACTACAGCGACTGTGATCGTCTACGGTAAGTGATGCCCTGTCCGCTGCGCGCAGATGGATGTGCCGCCGGAAGCGAGCAGCAGGTTGCTTCTTTGAGGCAGAAGGAAGACTTTTAGAGATGAAAAATCCATGTATGCCACTCTGTGCTGCAAGCAGGGAGCAGATGGGGCCTCCTGTTCTGCTTCCTGACTTACAGCAGTACACCGGCAGTGCAGTTGGAGTTCAATATTGAAAAAGCTCAGAACCGATGGTGTGGCTTGTTGGTACCAGGCAGTGGCAGGTAAAGGAAGAACGGGCAGGCTGCTTGCACAAACCACCCGTGGCCTCGCCGAAGGGAAGGCAGTCGCTCGCCTTGTCGCCCGCGCCAACTGGATGCAGCAGATAGCCATTAGGGCATTCCCTGCAGCGTTAGAGCTGGCGGCATTGCTTTCCATCAAATCGTTCTACCTTCTCAGTGAAGCTTTTCAGAAATAGAGTAAAACTGAAAGGAGCTGTGTGCTCCTCGATACTGAGAAGAGTGTCAGAGCTCCGTATCAGAGAGTACCCACCCTCTTATATCTCTTCAAATATACTGACTTTAAGTATGTACTAACAAAGTGTACTCCAATGTCAGTGGGAACTTAGCAAAGGTAGGAAGCACTCTGGGAAGCAGTTCGTAGTCACACAGCCTAGCTCAGTCATACGCACCAGGGGAATATGCAGCACTGGATAACCTTATTCTATGCCTGCATCTACTGCCCCGATCTGCAGTCGTGGCTGGTGCGTTTTGGGTGGGGGGGCCAGGCCAGGCACCCTCCAGGGCTCGTGTCTAGCCTGCGTTGTTCTGCCGCTCCATCCCACCAGGCCCTGCCTCTGCCTCCGCAAAGTCGTTGCCCTAGTGCATTTCAAGCAGGAGGTAGCTGCCGGCACAAAACCTGCTCTGACGACGTGCCAGCTGACTGTCCTGGTGTTCCTTGCAATCAGCTTAATTATAGCATACAGAAGGAGGGGGAAAAATCCCTATGATTATCCCTAATATTCATTTCATATTCAGGGTGGCAGTTAGATTTAATTGTAAGCAGTTGCTTCCCTGAAGTTACAATGAGGGCCTTTTAGCTCGGTTTTTATAGAAAACTGGCTGAATTGAGTTGATTAGCAGTGTTTGTGATACTGAGGGATGGACCTTGCATGAGCACTATGTTTTGTAACTGTAATGAATGCAGCAATATAAAGATGTAGGCATATTGTAACTCTTCCTCATACATATACGATGTTTTTTTCCAATTGTGCAGTCAAGAGACATATGTAGGGGAGCAGCCCTTTTAATGCTTTTTCTACCAGAGCTGCTTAAGGGTTGTGTTATAACACAAGCATTTGGGGATTGAAAAATATGAGCAGTTAATATGTTATCCATATCCTAATGAATACATTATTCCTTTGGGTAGCATAGCTCCCTCTCCATCAGTCCATCTATCCCAAAAGCTGAGGTGGTTGAGAAAGAGAGTCAGCAATACATATCTTCCCACAGTCCAGAAATAAAAAGTGTGTTTAGTGTGCATTCACTCTGAGCAGCTTAAATACCTGTCATGGTTATGCTGGGACATGCATGCGCATCAGCTGTCTCCATGGAGGGGTGGGTGAAGTTACCCTGGCATCCTGAAATCACCTTCTGTAAAGAAAGGAAAATAAAAGCATCAATTGCTGGTCTACATGTTCAAAGCACAGGCATCTCTCAGTGTGCATAGATTATGGGTAGCTCTGAGAACGAGCCAGAGTACAGGTTCTCTTCCTTTGGGAAAAGATGCAGCTTTCGGAGCGCAGGTTTTCAGGCTAACCCAGCTGCAGGTGCACTCTGAGCCCCCATAGGTTTCACTCATGCCAGCACAGCTCGGCGTTTAGTGCTGGATCGGGTCAGCTTTCAGAAAGAGGCAAGTCACCTGCCAGCCGTAGTAGTTGTCAAAGGGCATTTTTCATTCAGTGTCAGCATTTCTTGGACTCGTGCACTGACTTTGAGTAACTGCGCATGCGGTACATTGGAAGCGTGGGTTTGTGTTTCTTCACTTGTGACTACTGTTGGAGACAGTATGATACAGATCCCTTGCGCTGACCAGAATGACTTTATTGTGTTACCTTACTCTTATCTCTCGTTTTCCAGTGAATGGAGGCTGGTCGACCTGGACTGAGTGGTCAGTATGTAACAGCCGATGTGGGAGAGGCTTTCAGAAGCGTACGAGGACCTGCACCAATCCAGCACCGCTCAACGGCGGTGCCTTCTGCGAAGGCCAAAGCGTTCAGAAAATAGCTTGCACCACTCTATGTCCAGGTTCAGTATGAACGATACATAGCACAAGATGCCAATATTTTGTACTTTCGCTGACACTAAACACTTCAGGAAGAGGATACCAGTTAGGAAAACTCCTTCCCTTCATTAAAAAACCCAGAACTTCAGTGAATGAATATGAAATCGTATTACATAAGTAGATAAAATAGTGAGCACACATTATATTAAATGGCAAGGGATTCAATCCCACTCCTGCACAAAGCTTGCATCGTTGTCTCAGTCCTGGTAGTTCAGGGGATTTAGGGAACATGCAGAGCTTCAAATTGTAGGAGCTAAAGCTCTTCACGGGTTGAAAGATCTGAAGGACTGGAATTTGTATATAGAAAGCAATTGTGATCTAAATATATCTGCCATGTCTTTTCAGACCAACTGTCACAACAAGTGGAGTGTCCAGAGCATGGATGTTACATTTGAAGCCCGTGTTTACCTGGTGTCAAATGCGTTAGACAGAGTCCTATATCCGTACCTTTAAGAGATATTCAAATGTACACTTATAACTGCAGCATTACTTCAGGCCACACAGGGTGGTTGGTGGCTTTTCTGTGACAAAATTCTGCCTGTCATATTGTCCAGTAGTCCCACTGAAATCAATGGCAATGCCATTTAAATGAGATCGTCTTGAGCTTGTGTAAAAGCCACCAGACTCTGGATGTTAGTGGTGGGTGAAACATAAAAAGCTGAATTTTCATCTCTGGCCATTATGCCAAGTGACAGACTCCTAGCTCAGTCTTTTTCCTTGGAAAAATTTCCTAATTTGTTCTTTGGCTATTTCAGTTAGTGCTTTGGATAATCATTTATGGGATTTTGAAAAGCGCAAAGCGTGGTTCTCATTCTGCTCATATGAAATGTACCAGTGCCTTTAGATATTTCTTTTAATATAAAATATTTAATGTTAATTACCTCCTTATTAGAGAAGACTTTCTTGTCAAATTTAATTTTAATCTCTGCGTTAAAAAATCACAGACTTCCAAGTTGTTTGTCTTCTCATACACTTTAACCACAGATAAACTGCTGACAAGTTTCTAAAAAGGGAAGGGAAAGAACAGAAATGGGACTGGGGCAGAGAGAAAGGAGAGAGAGTGAATGTGTGTTTATAATCCAGAAATATCACTGAAAAAAATGCGGACTGACTCATTTCCCTGGGTTAGTTTGCACGGCCTAGGATCCTTATGACTTTCATAGAAGGGCTGGGAGCTGTAGGCTGGTGTATGCCAAGATGTGCATCTTGCTCACTTGCTTGCCAGGTCTTGCACGCACACACTCACGTATCTGCCCCCCCCCAATAAGTTGTATCCTTCCCTTGTCTCAGTGGATGGGAAATGGACGTCCTGGAGCAAGTGGTCCACGTGCGGCACGGAGTGCACCCACTGGCGCCGGCGGGAGTGCACGGCCCCGGCACCGAAGAATGGCGGCAAGGACTGCGAGGGGCTCGTGCTGCAGTCCAAGAACTGCACGGACGGGCTCTGCATGCAAAGTAAGTGCGCGCGTGGTCCTGCTGCCCTGCTGCCACTTTGGAGTTGGGAAAATGCACAGCCTTAGAAAAACCTCCTAGAGGTTTAGACAGAAAAGTCTCCTGTTAGCTGAAGGTGCGTATCCAGAAGAGAATATCCTCCTGCTAGGTGAAGAAAAATATTTTCAGTGATGTGGCTCAAAACCGACAGCAGCAACCCACTTGTCATGCTGCAAAACTGCCGACCAGGCTTTGTTTATGCTGGGGAGGTGCAGAGCTCTGTCACTTGCTGAGGGAGGAAGACGGGGGAAAAGATGTCAAGGCAAACAGCAGATAAAGGTGCACACATATCACAGTTAAGTGCTGAGCCACAAAACGGAGGAACCTATTTAACTATTCCAGCCCCTGTGGTATAAATCAGGGCCTTCACAGGAAAGATGTTCACAGTCCCTTTTTGATCCTCACTTTGTACTTGGGCACCATAAACTCTTCTGTTCTGAACTAGTTTGTCCTTGGCCCATGAGTAGGTGCTTAAGCAGAAAAAGAAAGAAAAGCTCTTTCAGTTGTTCTTCCCCACCTGCGCATCCACACAAATGCCAAGGGCCCGTGCAATTACTTACTGGCTAGGGATATCTGGAAAAACAATTCATGCCCCTAGAGGAAAATGCTTTTGCCTTCCTCAGGGTCATGTATACGAGCACGGCACACAAGGTTTAATACTTCTCTCTAATACCTCTTCAGCATCTGTCCAGAGAAATTTGTCCGTGACTCTTAGGCTAATGCAAGTGAAAAGTAAAGAGTTTAGGGCAAAGCCAGCATTTTCAAAAAAGTAAATCTGTCGAATCAGATCAGCTTGTGCCTTCTTATTGTCAAACAGGGTGAGTGCATGTGATTCTACATACACTATTATTTTTTTGAATTTAGGATGCTCTGTGGTAGAAATAGATACCTTATGCCTATGCAGTATCTATGCAAAGTTCATATAGACTCACCAGCATGCTGCAGCCTCTCTCTGTGAAAAGCCGCTGTAGTACTAAAGGGCCCTCTGCGTCCATCTACACTAAGGCCCTGCCTTTGTGACTAATAAGAGAGAGGAGAAAGAGTAGGCTTTTACTGTGATTTTGACATCTGCTTACAAACAGTTAGTGTCCTCCGTCTTCAGTCTTCCCCATCCTTTCTTAAAAATGAGATCTTCTATGTTCTGCTAGTCCATTAAAAACTTCATTTCACAGTTTATTAGCACAATAACCTGGGCCTAAATTCTCACATACACCTCTCTCCCGTTCCTCCATCCTATCTCTCTGCAGGCTCTTGCATTTCTTGAGCGTTCACCTTCCAGCCTCAGCTGTCCATTGCCCAAAGAGTGGTAGTTGTAACCATCTAGTAGCTCTGTGGGCCTAGGTCATAAAATGTTTTGGGTTCTCTCATGAAAAATGAGTCAAGAACTTTTATTCTCTCAGACAGGTTACTTTTGACTTAAATAGTCACCATGACACAAATGTGACACTGCTAACTAAAAAATAGGGCTAAGTTTTGGACAAATGACCTATAGTAGATATTGTCAGTGAACTCTGAGCTATCTTATGTCACAGCATGGCTGTTTCCCTTGCAGTGCCCAGGTTTACAAAAAACAGTTCATCAATGTGACTTGCAAAAATATTTTCATCAGGTTGAAACTATTAGTCAGTGTCAACAGCACAAATTCAATTTTCATTTTTATAAGGAAGTGAGAGGTTAAGATTCAGAAATCCGTTCTTTTTCTTTTCTAAAGATAGGAAAAAAACCAGATATGTCTTATTATATAACATCTTGGCGATTTTTATACTGGGAAAGTAACTACCCCTAGCCCCAGTGGTGTGAATAAGCCATTATGGTAGATTAGGAAGAAAAGATAAGTCCCCCATGCAGAAGAGCTCTTTACTATCAGATTGTATGTAGATAGGTGTATGTCCTTTTTGTGTATGTGCATAGGGAGAGCCTTTTGAGCAGAAATCTAGTGGAAAAATAGATATAATGATACTGCAGAATAAAAGTCCTGTAGGGGTCTCATTTATCTGTTGATGGTATATTGCATTTTATTTGTGAAAGTGGATGCTAAGTATAAAGCAGAGGTCTTCAACAGGACAGAGGGTAAGGCAATTGTGAATCCTGTGCTACTTCATATATATGGATATAAAAAATGGTAATGAAAAATATGCAGTTGCTTATTGACCTGCTTGGCTCCAGGGGCTGTGATGAACCTTCAGTATTGGAATTTGATGGCAGTGTTTTAATCCTGTCTTTATACTCGTGGGGTTTCATATGCCTGTAAAACTTGCAGTTCCTGCTCCCTGATCCATCACTGCTGAGAAGATTGATCTGCTGTACTTTATGGCAGTGTGCCTACTGTTCTCGCATGCTCGCTCGCTTTCTCCCCCTCTGTTTATGCAAGACGAGGCTGAACGCTTACATAGTTGCCCCATGCCTCTGGATTCATGGCAAATCTGAGCTAGGAAGAAACCTAGCACTCTCTTCATTCCTAAAAATGCAGTGAATCTTTCCATGTTATTAGCGGCTGGTGGGGTTAAAGTTCCTCCTAGCTCAGGGACGTCTGAATACAGAGCAGAGATTTGCAAAGCCTTCGTGCAAGGCAGCCTCTCGTGGCACACGGGTGGCATGGGAGGAGGCCAAGGAGCCACGGCACCTTCCCACGGTGCCAGAGACCTGGCAGAGCTGTTGTGTGGCTCCTGGCCCGCACTGTGGCCAAATCCTGCCTGAAGCGCCGTGGCGCATCGTCCGTAGTCTCAGCTCATCATGCAAACTTGAAAGCTAACTCTAGCACTGCAGATATAGTTGGGGGTCAAAGCATTAGTAGGCAGCTTCTCTTACCAGTAGTCACTAGGCTGTTGCTTTGACCAAAACTCAGTTTTAACTATATATCTCTATATAACTGTAGCTATCCCGGAAAATGTTGGATTGAAGGAGTCTAATTTACAAGCCCTTTCTCTTCCAGTCTATTATTCACTAACATGGCATCAGCTGGGTAAATCAATAAGCTCTTTCATCAGACTGCCCCTGCTCCAGCAAAGAGCAGCAGTCTGCACCACTATCGATTTCTGTGGGGATAAAAACTGTGGCGCTTTCTCCATGCTTTGTAATTACAGTATTTTACACCCAAAGCTGTAGTTTGTGCTTACCACTAACTGTGGTATTTCTAGTGCAACTCTGCTGTCACATTTATTCAGACTAATGATCTTGCTAGTACACACACACACACACTCCCTTATTCAGTAGTTAGTATTTTTCCCTTAACATGAAAGGATGAACAGTCATTAAACTAGAGAGCCTGCAGAGAGACAGAAGGCTGAATTGAAAAAGAAAAGCAGCTGTAGTGAAAATTTAGGACAGTCATTACTATTTTAAGTTTCCAAATACACACTATTGCCTAGCAGGCCCTGTTATAACCATTTTGTAATTCCTGTAATAGCATTAATACAACCTCTGGAACAAAATACACTCTAGGTGTAAGAAGAATTGGCTAGTTACCACCCACACTAGTTGCATTATTGCTTCCATAGCTGCATTATTTCCCACTTGAAGTATGAGAACTATGGTAAATACTTCAGTGCAACGAATAACACTTTTAAAGGCAGGCACCGCATCTCACACGGGATTGCTATAAACTGAAACACTGCAATTAGCCCTCCACTCGCCTTCCTTAATGCCTTTTGTGGGTGTTCAGCACAGAGGCTCCCAAAGCAAAGCGCTCCGCTGCAGGCAGAAACATCAGCACAAATAGTTCCTATGACTAGATCACAAACATATTTAAAGCAAAGTGCTAGCTGCAGTGTTTCGCCTGATCCAGTCTGGAACGATTGCAAGATCAAGTCTATATTAGTGACCATCCCACCAAAAGTAACAGCAGTGTGCCTGGCTCTCCAAAGGCGCTGCTAAAAGTGCCTAGTAGACCAAATCCAACTTCGCATTATGCATAAAATGCTGCTGGTAATTGGGAAAAGGTGGAAAAACCTGTGAAGAGAGAGCGCTGTTTTGCTTGATCATGTTGAAAGCTTACTGCATAAGTTCTGATCTGTAGCTTTATTTTCATTTTCTCTTGGTCTTTTAGTTAAGAGCAAACATATTAGCTGCTTCATATCAGGCATGTTCATACTCAAGAGTGTTTCACCTAGGTCCTGTCCGCTGTGGATCTGAATGACAGTGTTCAGATCTGTATTCTCCCTGTCCTGACTCAGTGAAGGTAAATTCAGAAAAGCCCGTAAGTGTAAGGAGGGTGCCTGCACACACTAGGAAAGCTGTTGGAGCTGTTGGTCTTTTCTCAAATTATGCTTGTGGTGTGCAGAGTTGGCACTAGCGTAGGCAGAGGTGACGTAACCAGTGTCCATGCCTTTCTCAGCTCGCTCTCAGGTGTAAGAGACCACTATGACATTTCATTAAAAGGTTGGCTTTCAAAACTGCATAAAAGTGGTAATTTCAGGGGGTTTTTCCAAACAGTTAGCTATCTTAAAGCAGCAGGATAGTACTGAAGCACATGCTGTAGTTTGAGAAGTGTAGATTACACAGTTACCTAAATAGTGCTGTAACGCTGAGTAGTAAAAACTATTCAGATTACCCAGTCTCTCAATACATAAAACAAATTGATCATTTAATAGGGCCAGAAAGAATTTCACCTTGTGAATCATTGCCATGCATAACCGAATCCAGTGTGGACTTTTCCTTTGTTCCTTTGGATTTAAATAAAGTAGCATAAAAAGACTGAGGCACGCTGTTAGCACTTAAAGAAAGAAAGGAAAGATTCAAACATGTTCATTACAGATAGCACTGTAACTTAAGTACTAGGAAATTTATAGGTGGCACATCTGATACACCACTCGAGAAAATGCAGCTGTAACATGGCAAACACCTAATTATCAGAATTGTACTTCCATTTCTTGTTTTTTAAAAAAAGGCTGCCTGCTAGTTGAGAGTGAATTGATGTGTTACTTGAATACTTGCAGAGTGCTTTAAAATCTTTTTCTGAAAGGCAG